TCTTCTGATTACAATCTTATTTATATTAAATCAAACTGGGCACAACCACACCCTCACACACCCCTCAATATACCAACTATGGCACTATCGATGGGTACACTGGTGATACATCTGTAATAACTTATGCATTCCTTTTCTGACCTGATAACTCTATAGCCACTCTCTCTGGCACATTATTTTCCTCTAACTCCACCTGAGACGATTTCAACTCTACTCCTCCTAACCCTGCTTGTCCTTCTAAACCTATGCATTTTCTTATAATCTCCAATCGTAGGGTTGTTGGTGTGTTATCTAATCTGGATGTGAGTAAGGCGCATGGACCAGACAGAATACCCCCTTGTGTTTTGAGTGTGTGTGCTGAAGTTCTGGCCCTTGTGCTTGCTCGCCTCTTTTGCCTTTGCCTCAAAACCCAAACTTTTCCTCCTTCTTTGAAAGGATGACCATTCTAATCCCTCTTAACTATTGCCCCACTGACCTAACTTCATCCCTCTCTAAGATTTTGGAACTATCCTAAACTCCCATTTTGTCGGATCACCAGTATGGTTTCTGCCAGGTGAGATCTACTGATGATCTTATCTTTAGTCATCCACTCTTATTGATTATGGGGAAACTCGTCATGGCCCTCAACATCTCCAAAGCATTTGACAGGGTATGACAAGTCATTGCTTTCTAAACTTCCTTCTTATGGTTTCTCACCTCCACTCTGTTCTCTCGTCTATAGCTTCCATGAGAACCGATCCATGGCATAGTCGGGGTTTCAATCTCTTGCTCTTTCTTTACCAATACAGTGATCCCTCGGTTAACGAGCGCCTCGATTAATGAATTACCTTCCATAAGATTCTTCACTTCGGTTAACGAGAAAACCCTCGGTTAACGAATTCCTTACAAATTTTTCCCAACATGTTTTCGCCTGCATTTGACTGTCCACCAGCTGTAGTATTAGTCTACCAATACAGTAATCGGTTTTAGGGCTTAATTTCCTTACCATTTTAGTAAATATCAAGAAGGTTGTACTATTCAATAATTTTAATAGTGTTATATTAAATTTTTTAGTCATTTTAACAATTATTGAACATAATTGAAGTGCAGGAAACTAGTTTTTTGTGCACCAAACAGCCACTCAACACACCAAGCTTGGCGTCAGTTTGTTTACGAGTTCAGAGGAAGGAACATCTTGTTTGAGACTTCAACATAAATGCTTTTTTCTGTGTTTCCAGTCAAATTATTAGTCATTTTGAAATATATTTTACATATTGATAAAATATAGCGCAGTACAGATTAAAAGAAAATAATCTTGAATTACACCAAGTGAACTAAAATTTTATGGGTGAAATGGCAGCATGGGGTGACTTCTCTTCCACCCCAATGTCTTCTCTTCTCCCTTCTCTTCCACCCCCATTCTAATTCCCATCATCATCATCATCAACCAGGAGCCTTCTACATGCACACCTCAAAGTAAGTGTACTTTACTGCATTTATTTTTAGTTTGTATGTAATTTTCGGTGAGCAGGAACCAATTACCCAAAACCCATTGAAACAATGGTTTCGGTTAACAAGCAACCTTCTGGAACGAATTGTGCTCGTTAACCGAGGGACCACTGTAGTGGTGTTCCACAGGGTTCTGTTCTTTCACCTACTCTCTTCCTCCATTTTATCAATGATTTACTTCACACTACAGCACTACTAATTCTATCCATTCCTATACTAATGATTCTACTCTTTACTCTTCTTCTCATTTTTCCCTTTTCCCCTTAACTCTCAAACTAGATCCGTTTCGAGAGCTGATATAGCTTCTTCCACCAATGCAGATCTGTGCATCATCTCCAAATGGGGAGGTAGAAATTTGGCCATATTCAATACTGCAGTAAGAAAACACAGTACATATTTACCAATTATACTTTCCATAATAGAAGATCTCCCACCCATCATATTTAAGGATGCAACAATTTTGCCAAATTCTAAAAGAGATATGCTGGGCCTCACCATTTCCTCTAAAATGTTATGGAAGCTACACATATACAACAAAGCTAGAGGCTGCCTCCCAAAAGTTGGGAATGTACAGATGCCGTAGCTACTTAACTCTTGAGCAGTTGCTTCAAGTATATAAGGGATTCATTCGTCCTAACTTGGAGTACTGCTCTCATATCTGGGGTGACTCTTCTTCTGTCCAACTGTTAGATAGGGTGGAATCAAAGGCATTTCGTCTTATTAACTCTCCTCCTTTAGTTGACAATCTTTCTTTCCTTTCTCTTCTCTGCAACGTTGCTTCACTCACTCTCTTTTACAGGTACTTTAACGGGCAATGTTCGGTGGATCTGGCATCCTGTGTACCACCGGCAAGGCCGTGGGCTCGTAACACTCGTCTTGCCCGCAGTTCCCACCGTTTCTCTGTGGATGTCGGTCACACTAGAATAACCCACTATAGTGCATCCTTCTTTCCTCACACAGCCAAACTGTGGAATGCTCTGCCTTCTTGTGTTTCCACACTCATACAATCTGTCTCACTTTAAAAAGCTGGTTTTGCGGCATCTTCGCGGTGTAGATTAATATAGCATTTTCCTTTTCTATTTTTAATTTCCTTCTATTCTTATTTTTTCGCCCCCTAGGATGTGTTGTGGGTCGTTGACCTGTGCCCGGGTGGGCTAATCCCTGGAAAAAAAAAGGTCGACCCTGGAGCCACAACCTTCCCGACCTGTGGTGTACTGCGCACATCATTGTCATTCCTAAAAACCACCTTTAATTCATATTACGCTATATAACATTCAAATCCACCGCACTTGTAGAATCTCAGAGAACGGGAAACATTGATAAAGGATAACTCACCTACTCAATGTTACTGAATCATTTGTTGAATTGTACCCAGGTACGGTTATATAATATTAATTGTATGTATTCATAGCATTAAGGAGAACTCAAGGTATCTATAGGATGGTTGTTAGAGTCCAATTTATCCAGGCTAGTGTACTATCCGGGCTAAGTGTAGATCGTAGTTTGAAGGTCACACTATTTACGTCTGTGAATGTTTAGTGAACATAACTTCCGCAGATATCAGATGAAAATACATGAGAACAATGATCTGGAAAAAGGATAAAGGTATCAGAACTATGTGAAGTGTTGGAAGTGATCCAGAAACTATGCTTCAAAGAGAACATCATGTATACCCACGCCATGAAAATACGATGCTAGGCTTTGTTTGGGTTGGCACCTAGGCCGCCTCGGGTGTGCAGTGTTGATATTATAACCCAATGAATTTACCCAGAAACTAGCAAACCAGACCCTTACCTTAGTGTGTAATTTAGGATTAAGATAAGTATTTATAAAGCATGAGGTTACAATAGATAGGAAAATGGAGATGTGAGAACCATAAGAAATCAAAGTAAAAATTAAAGATTGGAAACAGTAGGCCTACGCGGTGAGAAGCGGCAGGGCACTGCAATTGTGTGTAAATGAGGCAGAAAGTCAGATCAGCAACCTGGGACTTGGTCACAATTTTCGTGATGCCATATGGTAGCAGGGTCTACCATTAGACAACACATTATGGTTCCAATATCTTCCCAGGCAGTAGTACCTCCCTGTTTGATAGCTGCCTACTACCTATAGTAATAGTATCTAAACAAGTAGACCTGTTGTACTGTAGTAATAGTTAGTGTAGTGTACTAAGTAATTAATCTTAATTGTTGTTTCTACACTGCAACAACTAAAAAAATACATTTAACATTTCTTTCTAAATAAAAGAAGGAAGATTCACGTTGTTTAGTGGTGCAAAATTGCCGAACTACTTAGCAAACTAAAAAAAAAATCATTGTCATATCTAAGCTAAGTATGATTCTTAAATAATAAAATAATAAAAAATAGAAAACAATTACTGTACAGTATATGATCTTTCAATGTATGGGTGGTTTTAATTTTTTTTTCAAGCTTTCACGGTTAGGGTAAAATTTTCAAGATATTGCAACAAATTTCAAGCAGTGACCCCACTGGTCACTGTCTGGTCATAGCCCCAACACACAAACAAGCACCCAAGCAATTCAACAATCAAGCTCTGATACTTCCATTTCTCAGTATGGACTGGGAAAGGATATTGTGTTTAGTTTAATAAATTTATAAAACAATTTATCCAATGAAGTTTTATATTATTTGGCATCATGTTACACATTAACAGACAATAGGAATACTACAAGGGTAGACCCGAGCCGGTGGAGACCTTGTGGCATCCATGCCGGATAAGCTACAGGCCTCTCATCAAAAAGTCTGGATTGACTACCGAAGAATTAATTTTCGTGACATGTGTTTTGCAAAATTTTTATAATCTAAAGAATAGATTGTTTGAATCATTGCTTTACCTTTTTGTTAATATTTACAAAGATATTGAGTAAATATAACATTAGCACGGCAACATTTATGGTTACCTATATAACTAATAATAAAATATGGTCATGCTGCTTTTACCTAATTTTTCCATCCTACCTTAATCAATGGTGCTGTGACCTACTTCTAGTTGTGACACTTTCATACTAATAATGTCGCTCATGTCAGCAATACTCCCATCATGTCATCCATTATAGGGATCAAACCAAGTTACCATTGTCACAGAGGGTAATAAAGCATTCTCTTATGAACCATATCACATTCATGCTTAGTATTCTGGCTACCATTGTTAGGGACAACACAGCTTGGAGGATATTATCGTTGCAAACCCCCATCCAACAAACATGCTCTCTCCACTGTATCTTCTATCTTGTAACATATAGATCATGATTATCTAATAATGATCTTACCTATTATGTAAAATGTAAAACTTGATTGGGCAAATTGTCTCGTAAATTTATTAAAGAAAACAATGACATCCTTTCCCAGTCCTTACTGCGAAATGGAAGTATCAGCCCTGAATGTAACTGCTTGGGTGTTTGTTTGTGTAGTGGGGATGATGGAAGGACAGCTACCTGCTGACCGGTAAGGATGGGGGTGGACTTTACACCCTCCACCTTGACTGTATCAAGAACTTTGATCTGGGACTGTACTTTAAGGGGCAATGTTTAGTGGATTTCACATTCTGTGTATCGCCGGCAAGGCAGTAAGGCCGTAACACTCATCTTGCCCACGGTGCCCACTGTTTTTGTGTGGATGTTGGGCACACGCGAGTAACTCATTAAAGTAGTTCCTTCTTTCCTCACGCAGCCAAATTGTGGAATGGTTTGCCTGCCTCCTTCTGTGTTTCCAACATCGTACAATCTGTCTCGCTTCAAATAGCTGGTCTTCTTGCATCTTTGTGGTGTTGGTTAACATATTCTTTATCTCCCTGATTTTTTGGGTGTGTGTTTTAACCTCCCCCCCCCCATCCCTGCCTCTCCCGGGCACTATTGTAGGTCAATGACCCGTGCTCGGGTGGGCTATTCCCCATAAAAAAAAAAATAATAAATAAATAAAATTAAATTAAAAATAATAATAATAATAATAATACTCAGCTCATCCTGCTAACTTTTGCTGGCTCATAAAGAAATGTTGATTCCATTTATTTTTTCACCTTATGATAACTTATATATACATTCTACATATATATCTGTATATATATATTTTTGCACATGTGTGTGCATGTCACTGAATAAAAAATATGAAGAAAGTTATGTTTATCTACCCCAAAATTACTAGTTGAAAAATAACCATAACTCTTACCTCAGCCTGGTAGGGAGAGTGCTAGGGGATGTGGCCGCCCCAGCTGATTCCTGGGGGTGCACGATTTGAATTATTGCCGGGACCTAAATTCTTTTATGTTGGGGAAGATTTCATAACACGAAAAAGAGGTGGTAATTAAGGAAATTCATGTAAGCGAATTTTTGTACGTATTTCGAACGTTCATATAGAGAGGGATACCTGTACTCTAATGTGGCTTAGATATAAAGAAAATATAATATAAAACTATAAAACAAGAAAAATGATGAGCAGGAGTGTGTATGTGTGAAAAGTGAATGTATGTCTTGAGGCAGTGAGCTGTAACTGTGGTCAGCCGCACTCTCCCTCCCCCTACATGAAAATCCTCTCACAAACAATCAGAAACAAGACAACAAAATGTATTAAAAATGTGAGTCTACCCTCAAGTCAACTCTGTGCTTTGTTATTAAAATTAACTTGAGGGCAGACTCTCACATTTTTAATACATTTTGTTGTCTTGTTTCTGATTATTTGTGAGAGGATTTTCCCATTATTATTTTGTATGTGTCAACACACACATATACAATACAGGTAAAAGAAATAATTGTCCTTGGGGCAAACACGAAAAGGAAATATAATTTTTTTTTTTGCACACGAGTAAAAATGTACCACCCCCCCTTCCCGGTCAGCAAATGTTATTTGCGGATTTGACGATTCACGGCCATTTTGAGAACCTAACCCCCGATAATTTTAAGGGCATGCTGTACTGTACACATCACATTAGAGTATTGTAATGATAATTCCATAACTTTTATACAGTAGTTTCATTTCATATAACAATGGCAACAAACCATCTCCATGGATATTACTCATCATTATCACTTATTTACATATAATTTCATTAGGGTTTACAGGAACACATCTTTAAATGAGGAGTACCTCAGTTACCGGTACCTGAACTGAGACAATGTTCAACATGCCCCTCTTCTCTTAGAGGTCTTACCTGAACTGAGACAATGTTCAACATGCCCCTCTTCTCTTAGAGGTCTTACCTGAACTGAGACATCTTCAACATGCCCCTCTTCTCTTAGAGGTCTTACCTGAACTGAGACATCTTCAACACAACTGTCATCTCGTAAATTCCATTTCTTCAGAATGTCCTGACAAAGGTCATCAATTCCATTCTCCTGAAACAGTACCAATAAATTTATGTTTTCAAATAATGATTCATTAACATCTAGGGGGCATATCGCCTGAGTCCCAATATACAGGTAAGGGACATACATTATAACCATGCTGTGCAGATTAGCCATGTCTGGATTAGGGGCCAGGAAAGTGATTTGCCCAGCAGACAAGCTAATATTTTAAAAGGAAAATACTGTACAGTACCTAGACAGGAGTTTGTCAGGTGATGCGTGACCCCCACCTCACCGCACATGTTTTAACCAGGGACCACTTGTTAGTGTATAAGGATTAGTGACCTATGTGATGTTGCAAGACTTATTGCTACAAGGGTTTTCCAGATACAGTACTGTATTGTAAACAATGATGATGATGATAAACCCTGTGAGGTCTGGTGAGTAATAGGCCCACGGTTGGAAAAAATCATGATTTTTTTTAAAAAATAAAAAAAGTCGATTTATTTGATTTAAATCAGATTTTTTTATTTAAATCGATTTTTTTATTTTTTTACTAATTGCATTAAAATAGAATTTTTAAACCATAAAACAGTATTTTTCAACCAAAGCTTATTCAGGATAATAAACAGAAAATTGGCATCAAGATATTTATGCAGTAGATGTACCAATGGAATTTAACACAATAATATTCTTTTTGTAAAATAAAAGAAAACTGGTAACATATGTTACATTTGAGTGCACAAATCCAAACGTAATAATGAAATTTAACATAAATGCTCTTATAGGATTACAGTGTTTAAAAAATTAATAACTTAACTTCTTCAAGTCAACAGAATAATATTCTCATTTTGTAAAAAAAATAATACTGGTAACAAGTTTATTTTCTTACATTTGTAGGATTATAGTGTATTAAGAATTAACGGTAATAACTTCAAGTCAACACAATATTCTCATTCTGTAAACAACAAAAATAGTTCAAAACATTTAAATTAGCTTAGTTGAACATTGAAATGCTTATGTACTGTGACAAGCTTAGATGCCTTTTCCTGTCCTAGGCGATTTCTTACCTTTGAGTGTACAAATCCATATGTGGAAAAAATTCTCTCAACCCCTGCTGATGATGCAACAGCTGTAAATAATTGCCTAGGAACATCCATTACATTTTCTGTCATATCATTGGCAAAATACTGCCACCACGCAAGGGGTGAGAGATTTTACAACATCTTTACCAAAATAGACCTCTTTAAATGGTGCGCTTTTTCTATGGAAGGACATTAATATTGAAAGGAAATGTGGAAGAGACTCGCACACATACTGTTCTGCAATGTCTCGCTGCTCAGGAGTTAGATGTCTGCCCTGATACCTTGGATCTATCACATTAGCTAGAAAATGGGCAGGTGTCAATGCTACTTTGATTCTTTTTTCAAAATTATCCATATCCTTCTTCTCTGTTAAATACTCCTTAATATCAGTTTTCAGTTTTACCCAGATTTCTACAGCATCACTTAATCGGGTATGTTCTCTCTGGACACAGTCCAATGCCACAGCAATAGGCTTAAGTCTCTCTAAATAGTCTTCTGCAGTTCTTTTTAATGCCTTATCATTAACTTTCCTTTCAATTTTCTTATCAATGTCTTCACTATTTTCTTTGCACACTTTGACAAGGGTCTCCCAGTTCTTTAAATAAGATTCAATAGAATCTGTCACTGTGTTCCATCGTGTGTCTGATGGCATTACTAGCATTGTTCCTCCTGCTCTTCTATACAAAGATCCTGGGATGTGATGATTTCTGAATTTCAATAGTATTTATTATCTTAGGTAACAATATATTTCATGTAAATATATACTGTACATTAATAATGAGACCTTATGATATGATCAAAGTTTCGCAAAACTGGAGAGAACAGACTATAGTACAGTACATAATTATGTAAATCCAAATAATGTTATTAGCCTGCTGCATTGCATATACTTTTCAATCATGTAGAATAAAAAGAGAAAACATTTATTAGTAAAAACATAATTTTGATTTAAATCATGATTTTTTTTACTCTGATTTAAATCCATTTAAGTCATGTGATTAAAATCATAACAACCCTGGTACTAATAGCTTGTTCCATGGTTGCGACAATCATGTTTATTGTCCTATTCATGAACTTTGCTAAGCTTTGGACTATTATGAGCCTAAGAATGTACAGCTTAGAGTCTGTTCTTGAAAGTAATTATTAAAACCCTCTTAATGTGGACTAATTGGGGGGGGGGAATAAGTCCAAATTAAGCAAATTTCCGAAGGGGTTTATTGTATTAGCCCGTCTAATAGACAATAGTACAGTACTGTGCTTATATAAATATGGGCTATATACATTAGGTTTATATAATTACATCACCCACAGTAGTTTTTCATGAGCGGTGAGCTATCATGCTCAGACCATGTGATAGGTATTTTCCACTCTCAAGTCGTGTCTCTAAAGATGCTAGGTCAGCTATTAGAAGCCGGCTCTCCGTCAGTTATCCCTCACCCCTCACGATAGATGGACGTGTGACAAAGCTTATTATTGATAAGTTCCGTCCATCACTAACACTCACAGCTCATAGTGTTAATTACGGTGATATCCTAGTTGACTGTGCATAGTTTATTCTTCTAAATAAATGGAGAAAAGACCATTTGGGTTTTGCAAACTTAACCCATAAACTTTTCAAATGTGACTACGAAGTTACCTCTCATCAACAAAGCTCAGGTAACCGGAAGTACAGGTAGTACCATTATTTAATCCGGAAAAAGTTTGAATCAACAGAAAAATCCCGATTGCCATCTGGTGCTCACGAATGCCAGCCCCAACCACTTTGTTTAGAAGCCAGTCATGCTGTTATAGCCCTTGTGTGAGCATCTCTTAACTCCAGTGGACTATTTGTGACTTTGTGGACTAATTACCCTGGCTTTCAAATGCAAGACACTTCAAAAGGAAGTCAGAAGAGTGCCAGAAAAGTGTATAGCTTGAAGGACAAGCTAACAGTTTTGGAAGATCATGATTAATGTTTCTGCAAAAGTTTTGAAGAAATATGGCTTGGAAAAATCAACCATCAACAGCATCACCAACTTTGGTAAATACTGTATGTCCATAAGTACAAGAATTATATATATTATACTAAAGGTTAAAAATTCATGTGATCAAATTTTTTTTTTTTTTTGCCACCACATGGGTAGATCAGGACTATTTCATGTTAATCCAGATTAACAGAAATTAGTCTGGAGTGGTTTGCTAGAATGGATAAAGCAGAAATTCAGATAAAATTGTGTTAATAAATACGTATGAGAAGGTTTACCACAATTACCTTGTATCACTTTTTATTTATTTATATTTTACATTTATATTATAAGTACCCTGTATTGTATACCGGAATATATATTTTTACAGTAGAGTTGATATACTGTACAGTAATCTGATAAGTGAAGGAAGCAATACAACTTGGGTTGTGTTAGGGTGAAACAAGGAGACAGACAAAGTCAGGGTAATGGCCTGCCAGCAAATATACAGTACATATACAGTAATTATTGCAATGGTAATTTCTATCTATGTGATCTGGTACCAAGGAAAGCAACTTTGTTGCAGCGTCATGGAGTAATTTAAATTTTTTGTGGACGTGAGAATAGGCTTGGACTGAGCAGGTTGGTTGTAAACAAGCAGATGACACGCAGTGACTCGGTAGATCTTTCGGATGAGTATTTACAGTAAACAAAATACTATTACAGTAATTTAAATAAAAAGTTGTTGCCTCTATTAAAATAATGGCTAATATTTGGGTCTTGACTGTTGCTAGTTTGATGGACAATTTTGGTCTTATTTTGCTCATTATTTGTTGCTTAATGCAATAAGATAATCTATTTTTTGTGGAAATGGTAAAAACATGTGGGTTTTTTTTCAACTTCTGAGTTGAGAAGTTTTTGTCAGCAGGGAGCGTTATTGTCCCAGCCCCTCTAAACTATCGATCATTCTCTGCACCAGCCACTCTGTGACTTCACTGCATGACGAACATATGACTAAGGTTAGGTTAGGATTGGTAAGGTTATGATTTGTTGTTTTTAAACGGAAAACGGTTGTAGTAAGGTAATAAACTTTTTTTTTGCTTCGTGATTTATCAAATCAAAGTTTAATTTTTTTTAGCGTTTCCACAAAAAATTACTACTCCATTGCATTAAGAATCGAATACTGAATTGAGCAAAATGAGACAAAATTGTCCGCTAAACTCGCAACAGTCAAGATTCAAATAATTACTATGATAAGAACATCTGTGGAAAAAATGTAACAAAATCGAACAACTCCTTTTGGTGGTAGCTGTTTCCTAAAATTAATGTTTTTTTTTTTGTTTTTTTACAAGACAACCAACGAACCTAAAACAACAGGTTAAGTTACGTTATGTTAAGTTATTAGGTTAGGTTGGATTTGTTAGGTTAGGTTAGTTTTGGTGCTTTTTGTTTGTTGAGCAATGTGTTGCTCAACAAAAAATCCAAGGTTGTCCACTTGCAAAATTTTACCAAATTACCGTTCCCTTTGGTGAATACTGTCTCCTCCACCTTTATTGTTTCTTCAAGTTGCTGCTGAGGTTGGACCAGGAATCACTTGGAATAAAATCTTTAAATTTTTAGCAAATACGGTAATTTTTCGTTAACCAATCATAACCTTTTTTCACATGAAAAATATATTTTTTTGCTAGTTTTCTTGCTGTTTTAGATGATTCTGACATTTATCTTTCCTTAGGTAGGTTGGTTAGTTGGTTTCTTTGGTATGAGAACAGGTTATTTTTGGTGTTTTACTCAAATCTGATCTTATTTTTTTTGTGCAAATTAGCATATTTTGCAAAAAAAAAAATAATTTTAACAGAAACCAATAATTTGCAAAAAAATGGAGGTCAGATTTGAGTAAAACACACCAAAAATAACCTATTCTCATACCAAAGAAACCAACTAACCAACCTACCTAAGCAAAAAAGTGATTTGCCCCAAAGATAAATGTCAGAATCATCTAAAACAGCAAGAAAACTAGCAAAAAAATATATTTTTGCTCAATACAGAATAAAAAGGTGAAGGGTGACTAAAGAAAAATGACCGCATACACCTGTAGCTCTAATGGTGTTTTACTTGTCATCCCATTTATTGACCATTATGTCAAGAGTTCTAGAAGTAGGGGTTCCATGACAAAACCCCATTTATCAACACTAATCTAACCTAACCTAACCTAAACATAAAAGCGTTTTATTTTATATTTTATATGAGACTGGTTTTGTCCGTTGGGGTTTTGTCCGGTCACCAGAAGTAGGTGTCACTCTATTTGTTGGCCGCCAGCTAATAAAAGGATTCTTTCTTACCTTTAATATCACCAGGCATATTGAATCCGTTATAAGCAAATCAAAATGACATTCACCTTGATGACTACCCCGTATATGTACTAATAATAACCATAAATCAAACAAGGATGGAATTGTACTTATGCCGAGCTGGACAATCATCTAACACTTACCGTTATTTCAGTCAAGATCCCCTGTAAGGCTTCAAGTTTCTCCTCTGCATTTTCGTCTCCTTCTAATATACCTTTTATATAGGGACTAAATACCTCGTCATCTGTGTTTAGTGCCACTAGAGTAAATTTCAACCAGTCGTCAAAGTCGCATGCTAGAGCCTCGGCCATGTTTTGTTGTGGTCTCAGCCAAGTTGTGGGTTGCGAGCTAAACTTATTCTACAACACTGAAAGACAAACTATTTTGAAATTAACTATGAATGTTTTTCTCTTTAAGTATATTAATTCGAGTATTAATACATGTAAAAGGTATTATTAATTTTTTTTGTGATTCCAGCTTACTAGCCGTTCGGGTGGTTGGTCTATCCAGTGCTTGTTCCTCTTATCCTATACGTTACTGTAGTAGTAAATAAGATGTGAGCTACTACATAATTATTAACTCGATAATTATTTTTTTTAAAGCAAGAGAATATAAACTAACCGACAAGTCGATATAGCTTGTTACGAAACTTATGACCCTCCTTTCACCGTTTACCCCAGCTTTCCACTGTTAGGGGGAAAAACAGAAAGTGTTTATTTTCTCTACTTGTATTATTACATTTTATTGTCTTATTATTATATATATATATATATATATATATCTGTGTAAGAAGAGGAGTTTTATCGTCTGGAATAGTACAATAGCATGGTGGTAATAAGAACATCTCATAATGTTACCACGGTTATCACTTCAGTATTTATTAATTTTATTTATTTATTTTATACATAAATTACACTGGAACTGAAAAACATAAGTAGAATGGGGGAGCGGTACAACATGGGTTATACAGTAATAAGAGACAACGTCCACATCATAACCTCGAACCTTGCACAGCTACAGGACTTCCAAAGACAAAATCGCCCAGTCGTTTTACACTGGATTCCCAGTCATGTAGGGATTGAGGGAAACGACATGGCAGACGAAGCAGCCAAGGCAGCCACACGTTCTAGAAGCGTACACATTCAAGGTCCAGCAAGCGTGCAACAGATCAAGAATCACCTCAGAAAGACTACCAAGCTCCACATCCAAAAGAGCTTCCTTCACGCATTCAACGCTGGTTCCCAATCAGCCAAATGGTACCTGGCGGCTACAAAAGGGGAACCACCTTTCACGGACAAGAAAACACCAAGACAAACCCAAGTTAGCCTTCATCGACTACGACTAGGGTACAAGTGCACCTGGCAGACGATCGGAAATGTCATCAGGGAATGCACCTACTGTCAGGAGCCAGCGGCCAACCCACTGGAACACTATCTCCTCGACTCCGAAGTTACACAAAGTTTCCGAAACAGAATTCGAAACTTCAAGAACACACAACACCAGCGGCCACTCTAACCCGAAAGGCCCAAACAAACCACATTCACCACCTACTCCGGGTCATCACACGATACCCACCACCCAGATAGCTCAGGAAGTATCCTCTCCCAGCAAGTGCGGACCCCAGTTCGGGGGGCGCGCCTCTCCTGAACTGACCACGTCCAAGAGTGGGGGTTGGTGGTAAGCGTTCACTGACTGAGGGTCCGCTCACACTTGCAAACCTGCAGTATCCTTTCATATCCGGTCTGGTTGCTCCAAGAGCTCCAGCCGGAACCACCAAACGGGCCGCCTACAGGCAAAGGCCGTGTCGGAGAACGCCATTGTGAGTTTCTCTTCTTACCTCCATCCTTAGTGCGGGATCTCCTCGTGTACGTATGTATGTGAGCCTATCAAAGAGAAGAAAGACAAACAGAAATTTGACAACTGGCCACATACAGTACGCTACAGCTTATTACTTTAGTTTCTATATTTTACTTTTTTTCCCTATTGTTTCTCTCTTTCAGTGTCATTATTTTTTTGGTATATCTTCCTCTTACTTTTAATTTATATCATGGCTTAGTTATATTCTATTCAATGGATTAACCTGGAAAAAACCATATCATTCTTTAACAACACCTATTAAAATACATATTATACTCACAAGGGTAGACTGCCACCACCCACGCTTTTATTAGAATATAACTTATATCTTTTAACTGTTAGGTAGCGTGGTAGGCACGTGAGTTACAGAAGTTATTTTCTGAGAAGCAATTATTAGAAGGAAAGAAGTGGTGATACCAACATTTCTTAACATCAAAGTGAGTAAGATGGCAATGGACGAGTTGACGGTTCTGGGTAAACACAAGAAATACACTCTGCCACGTTCGTAGATTAATACGGTATATATAATTTGTAATAAAAGTTTAAAGTCCTGCTATAATAGTCGAGATAAGTTTGCACTTACCCTGCAGATGACGCACGGATGGAAATACTAGTCAATTGAGAAGTAATGACATTGTCTGGACTTTGCTTTGAGAATGCCTGATGCTAGGTAAACATGACAAAATAGTGCTGTTATTGTTTTGGAGATTCACTAATGAACCACCGTGATATATCATCATTTATATTAATTAATGGGTAAAATTTTACTTTACCCCCCATAGTTTTTTTTTGGCACCCCCCTACATCCTTGTGTAAGGGAAGCGCAGAAGCGTTTACAGCGCCCAACAGGGAAGCATGCTAAGTTCATGCTTGTCTTTATGTCTCACGAGTTAAGGGCGTAGAAGCCTGAAGAGTCAATGGTTTATGTCATCAAGTTATTGGAAGTTCCAACAACTTTCCCTGAATACGAATTCGCAACTTTCGACTTGCACCAGGTACCAACTTTACTGCTAGGTGAACAGGGACTAATGGGGGCTAGGAAGTAAGTCCAAACAACTTCCACCGGCCCGGGAATCGAACCCGTGACATCCCGCTTGCGAGGCAAGAACGGTACCGCTTCTACCACCGGTCCCCCTACCCCCATAGTATTTGGATGCTTAGATTCGAGATAGGCTATATTGGGTAAATTTTAAGTTTTGGTCATCCCTGTACTTAGACATGCAGACTTTTTTTTTCTGGTGGCTTGTGATGTTTTATGAATGATTTTGACCTTCATTTTTATCGGAAATCACTAGTTTTGAGTTACTACCCCCAAAGTTAAATGGACACAGGACGCACAAGTTGTCAACACCTTTCTTACTACATCAGCAGAAATACAGACAAGGGCCCCTGTGGGTATACGTTAGATCCTGGAGATAAGGAGACTGACATATTATTTTCAGGAGATTAATTACTTTTAAAAATACAAAACTGACAATAATTTCGATACCAACATCAGATTGTCTGATGTTGGAAATCAAAATAATCTAACTTCAGTAGCAATTGGAAACTCGGGCATCACCCAAGGGCGATATTAAAGATTCGCCACTTTTACTGGCAGACTCGACTCTTAACTTATTTGACAATTTCACTAACAGTAAATGCAGTTGAAGCTTTCAACATCACTTACAATGGATCTTAATTGTTTCATTTGTAATCAGACATATCTAATTTGATGCAAAACAATTGTGTTCTCTCTCAATTTCAAATCTCACAACATGACATGAGGCATTAAGAAATATCAGAGTCTCTGATGCACATGATTGAGAGAAAACGGAAGCCTCAGGCGTCCTGAAATGGGGGAAGTACGGGCGCCTCAGATGGGGGACTCAACAATAAAGGCATAGCTACATTTTTTATGGGCTATTGAGCGTTATATGAATCGTCTGATTTTACGTTAACTAACATGTACGACCGTGGTCATTACACCACCACTGGTTACCAGTGGCCAGGGTCATATGCACAGAAGCAGTAGATATATCACGAGTATCGTCGAATTACCACTGGCTGTCCCGCCAGTCTTCGGTAATTTCTCAACGATTGGTATCAGTGTACAGACAAAACAACAGGCAGGTAGATTTCCACCGGGTCACAGAAACACACTTGTGCACTGTAGTTTCTTTAATAGTCACCAATTCTTCACAACACTGTTCACAGGGTCCACCTTCACAGCTGGGCTTCACACTTCGAATATATAGTCAGCACACTACCAGTGTACAATTCCTTAGTCTTTTCACTTTATATCACTCACAACAATTCCACAATACTTGCACAAAAATTATCTTCAGTTGTCACTACTAGGCTTGTATTTCACACTCTGAGCAGAAACGGTCGACTCACCAACTAGGCAGCCCGCTGCCACTTTTATACCTCTCATCAGACGATCCTCGAACACCCTAGCACAACCCAGACAGGTCTGGGTTGTGCTAGGGTGTTCTACTCTGATCGAGGCTTACAATAAGAAATAAATCATAAAAAAATGATGCAATACATTCTAGAAAATTCTTACATAGGTAATACATCAATATGTACAAGAAAATCTCCCTAAACTTGCCAAAATAACAGCTGCTTGGAATAGAAAACAATCATAACACCTAGTTCACAAAAATTTTTAATACTAAATCATGCCTCCGCATAACATTATTTTGACCCCGCGCAAGAGTTTCATCTCATAAATTTTAATTGTTGACGTAATAGTGTAATTGTTAACCTTAATACACATTTAAAAACTTTAATTGTTGAAGCTTAGTAATAACATTATAACAGCTACAACAACAACGACCACGCTGATTTGATTTTCTTATTCAAAATAATGGGAAATATATTGAAAAATCAACTAATCTATAATACTTACCATAACACAAGGAGAAATTAGTATACGTCTAGGAAAAAAAAGTACAGTAGTTATTGACAAATGGGTCCGGTTTCACGAAGATTCTGTAAATTATTGTTTAGAGAAAGTGTAATTTTGCTGATATTTTCGACGTTATTTTTGTATTTTAACAAATGGTAAATCGACAGAGTGATAAGTAATTGCGGAGAATGAGTCAATAGCGATGTATTTTGTAAGTTTTCCTGTGTTTATTTGGAAAAGAGAGAAATTAATTCCCTTGCGTGTAAGCACCTTAAGAAACAAGTTCCCTGATGTTTAAATTACAGGAGAAACCCCCAACGAATTCTTAAAACAATTATCTAAACTACAGACTTAAAAATATATATCATCACCGTACACACATTTCATAAAAATATCTCATCTCATAAACTCATGGGCCATCCACAGAAAATTTCTTGGGCAGACAAAGTAAAAATCTAGGGACGATGGACTCGCCATACAGTAAGGTTATCTTCGAAGAATATATTCTCTACATTCCTTGATTATGTGTTTACAGGCAAGAGGATGGGTGTCGAGTAGATACGCTGCTACGTGTGAAAATATTAAAATT